TAACATGAAGAAAATGGAGCTGATATGATAAATCAGAAATACTTTAATAATCCCAGAGGGAAATTACTTTTGTTACACACTGACAAATGACAGTAAACTTAGATGTTCAGCTAGTATTAGTTTACGTTTGTAGTCCAATTTTCTTTCATTTTATCAATAAATCCTTGCATTCTTATTTTCTTTTGTAAGTACCCCCCCACCCCAGTCTATATAAAAAACTTGTTTGCAAAATGTCAGAGTAATCATCCATTTTCCTTCCCCATTATTATTTGTTGTGATTCCTCGCCTCAATTTACTTGCAATTAATGTCACTATAGTGTTCAATTCTTTGTCCAGGATTACTTTATAAATTAATTTCCTGTGTGCACCATTTAAAAAGACTTGCAAAACTGCAAATTTAATATTTAAATTCAGTTTTTAAGTCTTTTGGAAATTACTATCAGAGTTGCGATGAACCAGTTTACTTTTAGGCAGTATTTAAAATGCCTTGTTTGCTGACTTTCATCTTATTCAATGTATGATCTAGGTTTATTTTAGGTCAGATGGGTTTGTTGGCCAGTTAAGCATGGTAATTACATGGTCTCAGTGACACCTTTGGCATTATAGGTTGGTACTAAGGGGTGCAGCTATCTTAATTATTATAACCAGTGTTTTGCAAGAAAAAAGGCAATTACTTTATTTATTTCTTTACCTTACCCTCTTGTTGCAGTGTCAACAAACTCTCCCGTTAAGGTGTAAGATATCACATATGCCTTTTTTGTAGATTTTATTTATTTTTTTTAAAAAAAAGGGTTTCATTTTTGTCATTATTTTTGAAATAAAAGTAACAGCTAAAAATAAATCCCCCTATTTATCTTTAGATCCTTTTTTAAAGGGTAGTTTTTAACCCTTTATAGGGCAATCAGTGAAATACTTTAAATATCTAAATTTCAAGCAAAGAGTGCACTGCAAAAAATTGAAATCTAAGTCAGCCAATTTTTCTTAAAATAGGTGCATTTTTTTCTTGAATTGAGCAGGTAAGTGAGACACTTTCCAAATGTAATAATAAAAATTTATTTAAATCTTTATTTAAAATAAAGAAAAAAAGATAGTCTCCTATTTCAAGTGCATAATATCAAATGATCTGATTTTAAGGGTAAAAAAAATGCTCCTTCCACTGGGAGATTTTCTTGTTTACTTACTCAAATTAAGGGTAAATACACTTATTTTAAGACATTTACACAAATGTATAGATCATTTTAGTAGTGTGTTATTATTGGAATCCAGGACAAGACCGTATTGCCTTTGTAACATTCAAAAAATGTGTATAATTTGAGGACATAAATGAATGTCAATGTAATAAGAGATACCAACTTGCCTGCATAGATTAAGAAAAATAACAAGACATTTATGAGAAACACATTTTTTAGGCTTATTAATCTTTTAACTTTGCTTTTTGGCTTTTCAATTAGCTTTTTGCCTTTTTTCTTGCCTCATTAACCTTTTTTTCATCTTAATTTACAGTAATATATCATTTAAAGGCTCGTCTAATTGGTCAAAGGCCAAAATAAGATGTAAAGCCATGTAGCAGCATCTTTAAGGAATGGCTGGATATAGATCTTGTGCTTCTAGACTTCACTGAGGGATGGGGGGGGAGACTCCATTTCTAAGGGGTATCCAAGTGATCAGAAATGGTAACTTGCCCTATAAAGGATTAATGCTAAAATAAAGTATGGAGTTGCATCGCATCCCTTGCACCTTGTTAAACCAGAGCTCCCTCAGGCTGTGTCGTCCAGACGCTGCCTGCACTCAGCAGATTAAGGGAGAATTATGCAAAGAAGCAAATCTCTAAAGCGATCGGAACTTCGCTGCAGGATGTCGGGACCTACTCACAGATTTCACTACATCCCAGTGGTCGTGTGAGCTCCCACTGATCTCGCTCCAGTTGTCTTCCTCCTTCTTCTTCCGCTCGGCTGCTACGTGACCGTTCAGCTTCGCCGACCCTTCGGCCGCGCGCTCTCCTTTACGACTGAAGCCACCGCGCGCGTTCGCCGAGTCCGTCGCGGGCAGCGAGCCTTTCAGCAACGACGTCGCGACCACGATTGCGAGCAACGTGAAAATGACAGCGGACAATATGAGAGTGACGTCCATTGTTGGCCCGCCCTCCCCCCTTCAACGTTCACCTGAACCGCCAGACAGCATTTACTTCAGCTAGCCATCCCGCTGCTGCTGATAACCCTGCAAACGCCAAACATCAACGTTAACGAGCAGTTTATCTCACCTAACTGAACGTCACATCCTCCGGTTACGCCCCCTCCCCTCCATCTTTAACGCCGCCCTCTTGGTCAGCATTCGCTGGGCAGGTGGGTTGGCACGAAACGGTTCAACGTGTCTGCGTCTGGATAATCCCATAAACAGGACAATCTGGCGGATTCAAATAGTCCCTGACAAGGTCCCGTGTACTGATGAACCTGTTAGCTTTAGGGAAAACAGTCTTATTTACCAACCAGCGGAGTGTATGGCAAGCCGTTTTAACATACATTCGGTTTCGTCTGACCATCCATAATTACGTTCCAGATAACTTAAAATACATTTTGACTAGACAGAACTACATTTTGACTATCCGGAAAGGTAATTTAAGATATCTGTATTTACATTCTGATTAGGAAGAATAATAATTCAAGATATCTTAAATTACATTTAGACTAGTCAAAATTCTTTTCAAGTCATCTCAAATGACTTTCCGTCCTTTGGATAAAACTGACTGTAAGAAATCTTTTAGGAATGATCCTCCTGGACGCTCATTAAAAAGATCATTACACATTTTGACTAGTCAGAATGTCAATTTAAGATATATTTAATTAAATTCGAGATATCTTAAAAGGAATTTAGAATAGTCGAAATTACAATCCAAGATATCTTTCAATTTTTCTGTCTAGTCATTATTTGCTTTTAGGATATCTATAATTGAGTTTACTTTAATAATAATCAATTTAACTTAGATATAAATACATGTAATTACTAGTTTTATAAAGAACAATTATTGATAAAAGTATGTTAGTAATGACAATGAATAAGATGTTTGCACCATAACTCAACCTGAAATTTGTCCACACCTCAAATTTGGACAGCATGGATGTTTAAATGTATGCGTCTATTTGTTATCAAAGGCTGTAGGAAAGTATAGTTGTGCTCGTTCATTTTCCTGTTGGAACAGTGTAAATTGACTCTGAGGTTCTGGCACCTTTCGGCCACCCCTCAGTGTACATTGGGTATTGCCCCTTATTAAAATGTTCTGGCTACGCCTCTGTGTTGGATTGAACCACTAACCTTTATTCCAGGTTAGACCACTGTTATTTCAGATTGTGATTAATCTTTCTGAAGATTAACATCCAGTACAGTTATACAATTTAACAGCCTGAAACTCGAAAGCCAAACACTACATTTTTGCATTTGTACATCAATTGATACTTAGATGGGTATGGGGCATTGCAGGCTAACAAAAGAAGCCAAACGACCCCCATTCCAAAGAACCTGTTCATCCATTTCAATTTGCAGGTTTTCAAAAACAAGGCTTTGTTGGTCTACTGTATAAAACCTTAAGGCAATTCCTTATATGTTGATTTGAAAAAGCTTCCTGGATGAGAAGCGAAACATCTTCAAACTTGGAAAAAAAAGTCCAGTGGTTTGTTTTTAACTTTTTTGAATGACTGCCTGGATGACTAAGAATCTTCAACATGTTCAATTTGTTCACCAGAAAAAGGAAGTGATTCAATGTTTAAGACTAATCCACCCAAACTAAATTTCAATTCAATTCAGAGCGCCAAATTCACAACACGTCATCTCAAGGCACTTTACAGTTCAACCAGATCATACAGTCAAATTGATAAAGTTTCTAAGGAAAACCAGTTGATTGCATCGACTCAAATACAATCCCTCACACTAAGCATGCTTGTAGTGACAGTGGAGAAGAAAAACTCCCTTTTAACAGGAAGAAACCTCCAGCAGAACCAGGCTCAGTGTGAGCAGCCATCTTCCGAGGCCGACTGGGGATTAAATCCGATTAATACCAGTTTCCATAATCCAACTGTGAGTTAAAAGGCTTTAAAATTGCTCTACTGCATTTCTATTTGCATGTTTGATTTTGGCAGTCCCTTCACCGAAATCCAAACATGATACAAATATAGTATGCCAGAACAATAGGCATTTTATTTCATCTGTAGTACCTAAACATATGCTTTTGCGAAGAATCCACTCTAATTGGTGAGAACAGTTTAAACCTGCTTAATAGAGGTGATTAAATCATGTACTCGTTATCCACTACAGGATTAGAAACAAATTTGATCATCTGCTTCTCAACACTGGCTTCTTGTCAAAAAAAAAAAAAAAAAAAAAAAGTGAAAAGGGCTAAACTCACTGAAGGTCAGATATTTTTCCTCCAACCTCCAACTCCTGTTTAGGGATGTTGAGTTTACATCACTTGGTTTGCAGCAGTCCAACACAAAGTTCTTATTTACCGGTAGTAAAAATTGATTCTGCCAACAAATGTTTCTAAAGTATGTACACCAAATATCAAAGGATTAAAAACAAAAAACCAAGGGAAACTGAAGTAAGAGTCAGTGCAATTCTGCTTAGCCTCAACCATCTTCAGAGATTAACATGGTTGCCATTCATAAACAGATAACTTAAAAAAATTCAGGGGGCTGGTGTATCATGAAATGCATTTGATGATTTGCTCCCCATCTCAAACCTTGAAATCTCCCTTGTAGGCTGGACCTTACGATCCTAATGGCTGCAAGTTTTCCTTCCCCTCAACCTTCCATCAATTTGTATAGAATCAGCAATCAAATGTAAATGATTAGATTTTTTGGGGGGGGTGAAATCCATAAAGAAAAAAAAAAAAAACTACTCACAACTACTACATAGAAACTAAAAGATGTAGAGAACCAGGACAATCATTAGTTAAGAATACAGTCAACATCAAGCATCAAGTGTTGTGGGGAAAAAAAGCCATTAAAACATTTAAATTGAACACAGACCTTTATTGGCATCCATTTGAAGCAGTTACAACACATCTGATACACACAGAAGTTTGCGATTCAGAATGTTTTATAAGAAACCATTAACTGCCCTGTGACCATTCTCTTCCGAGTCCCACTGGACCAGTTTTTAAAGCAAGCAAGACCAATTCAGTGGATAAGCCACAGAGGGAAGGCTGAGGGTGGGACACACAAGAGAAGGAAGGGTAAAAAGGATAGAAGACAATATATACAGCACATGTAGGGAAGTAGAGGTCACAGACAGGAGAGGAACGATGATCTGCCACACCTGTGAGCTTACAAACCGGCAAACGGCAGCGAAGGGTCGAGCCCCGGAACTGCACCGGGCACTCAGCACCGCAACACGCCACACCATGTCACCACCGCACTGCACCGCATCTTAACAGCTAACCAGCATTATTCAACTGCTACACAACTGCGCCTAGTGCACAAAAGATACACAAGAAAGAGGGTTAGAGTCATAGGAAAGCAACTTAAAACTAGACAGAAAAAGCAGAAAACATGTCGCTGGATTAAGCGAAACACTAATTGAAGTGGCCTTTAATACATTTTACACAAAAAAAAAACCCTGAAAGAGTGACAATACAACTAAATGCTGCAAGCAAAAATGTAGATGTTTTCTACATAAATTTTACAAATGGGTTTCATAGTCAATTAAAAAAAAACATCAATGGAGCCTAAAAAAAAAAAAAAAGAAAACAAGGTGATGGAAGAGGAATTTATTACTTACAAATTGAAAGAAAAAAAAGAAGCCCCCCACCCCCCTAAAAGGTAAACTGAAAAACACCTCCCTTTCATATACTCAGCTTTACAAATTATGCCAAAGTTACAGAATTTGTTTTGGCAGATTACAAATTTCAACATTTAAAACAAATTATACCAAGATCCAATTAACCTTTCAGTCTGCATTCAGTGGTAATAGGATTCTTCTTGCTCAAACTGAGGCAGTTCTGGACGTCCTCAAAGGCTCAATGCAACAGATCTGGAAGGAAAAATAAACCGTTAGTCAATAAGAGTGAAAACAGAAGCTGACATCACTTCCTGCAGCTGATCTGAATATTTAAATGACTGCAAGATTTGAACTAAAACTGCTTAATAAAATAAAACACACAGATTTAGAATAAACTCAGTAACTTGCTTCGCTTTTTTACATTTTCCCAACCCAGCTTTTCCCACACTAGCTCTAACACCTGGCCATATTGGGGAAAACAAACCTCAGGGTCCGCTCCCTTTCTGCGAGGCGGAGGAAACCACAGGCACAGGTGGGTAAACTGCTTAGTGCATCTGCCTGTGTGCCCCACGAGAACGTACCTCTGCACACCACCTCATACACCAACTGACAGCCCGAACCACCGCCATGACGACCTGCTTCATAGCAACCACCGTTGCCTCGGTGACCTGCTCCTTAGCAACTGCCATGGCTCTCAGCAACAGGCAGGTCACATGGGAGGGTCACACACTAACTGCTCTCACACTGCAACACCCCCATCTCCTCCTCTCTTTGCAAACAGGACTCAGCAGCTTGGAGGAAAGAATTCCACATTTAGGTGAACGATTTGATTGAGCATCCCACATTCCAACCACCCGCCTCCCCTCCCTGAACAAATCAATTTGAAATCCGAGTACCCCATAATAATTATGCTTTTAAACCAGATCTCCTGTTGCCTGCGTGTGCTTTAAATTGGTTTAAGAAATGTTCCAAAGTAAAGCACACACAAAGCTAGCACTAAACATGTTTTTTTTTTTGTTCTAACAGCATTCTGCAGACTTTACTGTATTTAAGAAGCATAAAGACTGCAGAAAACACTATAATGACTAAACAATGCAATACATAATTAAAGAGTAGAATAAAAAGCCCGTTCCCCTGAATACCGTGATATTGCATCCAAACTTGGGTTAAGGCTCTGCTTCGTTGTTTCCTGGTGATTTAGGTGCACTCTTGGACTTAGACCTGGACCGGGACTTCGATCCCCTGTTGGAGGCCGGGGTTGGACTCCTTGACTTGGACCTGGAGCGTGATTTGGACTTGGAGCGAGACCGGGATCTGGAGGGAGACTTGGACTTGCTGTGCCGGGGTGTTCTGGACTTGGATTTGGATTTTGACCTGGATCTCGATCGGGACCTGGAGTAGGAACGGGACCTGGAGCGGCTGTAACGGTTACGGCTCCTTGATCGGGAACGGCTTCTGCTCCTGGAGCGGCTTCGGCTACGTCTGCGACGCCGAGGACTGGCTGATCGACTGGACACAAAGAAACAAACATGTTGAAGCAAACAGCAAATAAACAGAAAGCAAAACTAGGCAAATCACCACAGTTTGGACAGTTTTTTGTTTATAACAATTTCCAAATGGGACAACTTCAGTGATTTTACAAATTAAGATTTTCAGTTTAAAAATATATTGCATATTAAGACATGAAAATGTTTTATACGTTTATTCAAAATGTAAAGTTTAAAATTATAAACTCAACCTATAGCTAGTTTAGACAGAAACCACACATGATAGTGGTTTAATGTAAATTATTTAATTGCAATGTTTAATGTAAATTATTTAATCTGTTTGGATCTCAATCTTGACTCATATGCAAGTTCTAATGGTCTAAATTCCATATTTTCACAAACCTAATGGCAATTGAGGATCACGTGACCACGTGCTCTTAGAGCACATGCATAACCAAGAAGTTATAACAGCCCTAAATGAATTACCTCCTACTCCTTCGTCCGTAGCCCCCGTATCTGCGCGGTGGAGCTCCTCTCCTGCTGTACATGGAGTCCGGTGGGCGGCCGTAACGGGCCATCTGAACTCGCAGCTCGCGCCCGTCCAGCAACGCACCGTCCATGGCGTCCATTGCGTCTTCGGCGTCGCGCTTGTCGAGGAAACGCACGAAAGCGAAACCGCGGCTTTCCTTGGTGTACCTGTCGCGGGGGATATACACGTCCCCCACCCGACCATACTTCTCGAAAACTCGACGGAGAGTCTCCGGCGAAGTTCTGTAAGTCAGGTTATCCACTTTGAGGGAGGTCATTCCCTCCACGTCTGGTGGCGGCCTTCCGTAGCTCATTTTCTTTCTTGGTCGTCTCCAAGCAACGGAGCGAGGCTGCTTAGACTGAAATAACTATGCTTCTTTAGTGTAATACACTCACCGAAGCCGACTTTAAAGTAGCTAGACGATAAAATAACGCTGATTGAATAAAATTTCTGAAAATAGGACTACCCAGTAGTGTTCCGAGCGCGCTGCTTTTCACGTGAAATGGCGGCAGCGCAGCTTCCTTTTACCCCTTTCTTTGCGCTCCTGTTGGCCTCCTCTTATTGGCTGTTGAGATATCCGCCTCTTTCTGTGTTGTTTTTACAGCGCTCCCTATCGGTTAGGGGTTTAATTTAACGATAAATTTGCTTTTATATTGTCGTCTAGTTACTAGATACAATAATCGTTTCCAAAATTCAGTAGTTTAATTTAAATATAACCTCAAAGATTCACAATTCTCCATTTTTTCTACTCTAATATAGTAAAAAAAGCCCTCTTTTTTACCAGCCTGTTTGTCAGCCAGAACCAAATTAATAGACGAGGGATTCATCAGGATTTTTTCTAATAGCGTTATAATAAACGTTAGGATGATATCTGTCTTTATTTTATTTTTTTTTTAAATTACACTGGCATGACAGTAGGTTGCAGTGTGCAGTAGTATACTATAGTAAAATGAAGTAGTTTGGTTTCCAACCTTGCTCCCCAATTAACCCTCCCATTTATTTTACTTCTTTCTGACATACACTTGACTTATATGAGGGATTCACAGGTTATTGATGGGGTCATGCATTTATTTTTTTAATTTCTTATTTATTATAATTTTTTTTTTACCCGTAGCGTTTATTTTAATCACATGTGCTGGAACAGATAGATGGAACCAGCCATATAGGTTGGCATTTGACGAATTGTCTGTAAAAAAAAAAAAAAAAAAAACATTCTTATGCTTGACGGGTTGGTGGATGGAACAAAATTGTATTTTTATTTTATATAACTTTTATTTAACCAGGAAAAAACCTTCCACTGAGATTAAAAACCTCTTTTTCAAGGGAGTCCTGTCCAAGAGGCAGCAAAGTAACATAAGAAACAGAGATACATTAAAATAAATGACAGGTATATAAAAAAAAAACATAAAGTAAAACAATTACAGATAATTGAGGTTGCTTCAAAAATGGCAAATCAGGTAGATGGTGATGAGGAAGGCTGGACAACAGTTTCAAATAAGAAAGAGGAAGTAAAAGGGGAAAAAGGTGGTTTGAGAATCAAGGAAATAAACGGGAATTAGAAGAAAGCAGTTTAGATGAAGAAAGAGTTGTGCGAAGAAAGGTTGTGAGAGGAGAATTAAAATAATACAAGATACGGTGCTGAAGATAAACAGAATCGTCTGAGCCCCATTTTGATTCCCAGAGAAATAAATGAGAACATTTTGGAATTTGAATTATTGAAGGAGTTGAGAGATGGAAACTTGCTGGTAACTTGCAAAAATGAGGTGCAAAAAAATCTAAGCATTGGATGTTGAACACGTAGGAAAGCAAATGGTAATTTATATAAAAGAAGTAGGAGAGAATAAAGCAGTGAGAGAAGTGATAACAGGAGTACCAATTAATGAGGATTTAGATTGATTAGAAAATTACATTATTGGAGGCAAGGTTAACAAGATAGAGAGGCTTTATAAAAACATACAAGGGGAAAGAGTGTCAACAAGTCACTACTGATAGAGTTTTCAGAGTCAATTCTAACAGAAAAAGTCAAAATAGGTGTCATTAGATTCCGAGTTAGGTTGTTCATTCCGCCTCCACTCAGGTGCTACAGGTGTAAGCGCTACGACACCATGGACCGTTCTCCCTGCTTCGAAGCATTCGATGCAGGTCCAGCAGATTCTGCAGCAGTTTCTTCCCCATCACCAAAAATACAGCATATTTGCAACATATATAATTGTCTTGCAAAGCTCTGACCTTCCATATTAATGCGTTTTTTTTTTTTGCACCATGTTTTTTTTCCCCACACTGTTTACATTTGATCACTGTTGCACTTTAAGAATTGGAAAATTTCATTTGCTGTCTGAAAAGTTGTACTAAATGAAATTTTGATTTGTATACACTCTGTGTTTACACAATGACAGTAAAAGTTGTCTAAGTATGGACAAATGGCAGCAGTTGTGTAGTTGTTTGTAGGGGAAAGCAAAGATGTTCAAAATGTGGAGAAGAACACAGAATCAAGGAGTGCAGGGAAGATGCTGAAGAAAAGTGCTGCAACTGTGGAGGCCAACGCAGAGTTAACTATAGAGGATGTGAGGTGAGACAGAAAGCAGTGGAGATAAAACACATTAAAATGACAAAAATTTGAACTACGCATAAGCAGTGAAGAGAGTTCAAGAACAAAGAGCAGGAGAAATTAATCAAGCACAGAATCGGGTACAAAAGCAAAATAAAGTAGAAAAAGTAGATAATTTCACTCCAACAGTAGAGAAACTGTATTTATTCATAGCGTGTCATCAACTGCACAGACAAAGCCAAGCAGAAAACAGAGAAAATCAGGATCATTGCCGGATAAACTGAAAAGTTTTTGGGACTCAAAAAAGTTAGTTGGGAAAACATTGTAACACTGTTGGAGAGAGGGAAGAGCAGGAGTATCTGGAACATAAATGATTAAGATATTGCTAATAATAAATAGCAATTATATTAGATAAAGATTTAGGATATTACCCTATTATAGATATAAAGTAGATACATTTATTGTTTAAATGCTGTCATTTTGTTCTGCAATCCATACTAGTAGGTGGTATATGGTAAATTGTCTGCCAACCACCATTAAACTTAACAAAAGAAAGAAAGAACAGAGGGATTTTTCAAACATGGATGGTTTGGGTGCCAGGGAGATGAAAGCAACACCCAAACAGCCACTATTTAGATGGTATAGCACTTCATGCTTTTATCTGCTGACAAGCACAATGGAGAAGCTGTTTTTGTTTTACAGTAAAACTTAAAACCTCCCACTGCCGAAACGTTATAATGCTGGATTAAATGAACACCCATTATACTATATGGCAACCCCGTGTCTTTTTTTTAATTTTTTTTTAACAAAATTTATTTACAAATAAAGAATGTACAATTGCAGACAGTAGTATGCTTGAGATACTGGGGTAACAGAACTACAGGGTCCATGAAACAGAAAAAGAAATAGATTACAAATTAAGTTCACCACTTAGGGTTATAAGTTCCATAGCTTTAGAGTTGGTGCATATTTTTAAGGAGCCCAAAAAACATCTTACATATGCTCTAAAAACATTGAGGTTGGGGGCAATCCCGTTTCTGTCAGGCTGTCCCAGGGCAGCTATGACTACAATGTAGCATCCCCCATTCTGAATCACCCTAAAGAGCTTCGGGGCCCTAAGACTTGATAAAGCTCTATATTAATACAGCCCATTTACCATTTGATGAATTACATATAATTCAGGGATAGACTACCTGAGTCATTGAGAGCTGATGTTCTGCAACCATTGATGCATCCATTTTACATCACAGTTAAATCAAATATATTGACCTTTACTAGGGTTCTGTGAAGCTGGAAGAGATACTGATGATGGACTTCACTGATTCAGGTATGTTGAAGCTGGGATGCATCCCAAAGGTGCAGACAAGGTTGAAGTTGTACTTCTGGTACTTCATGTTGGTCATCCCCTAATAGATACTGCTTACAGTAGCGCTTTAATCACTCATGTGTTGGAATTAAGATTTCCACATTCACCTAGCAATTAAATAACATTTATTGTAAAATTGTATGCTCTTTTTAATAAAAAATAAATAAATAAAATAAAATAAAATAAACTGTTTTCTAACATCCATTTGCCGGTTTCCAAGAAGAATTTACCCCTCACAATATGGAGGACGGGCGGACGCATAGTTTGTAAGGAGCCACACTTCCGGTTCCGTCTTAGTCTCTTCTGATTGGCTACACGGTAACCGCCTCCCGGTGTTGTGTCGTTACACTGCCCCCTGTAGAACTGGAGTCCATAATAGCCATCGCCGTAGACATGTATTTCTGTCTTTGTTTTTAAAGCGACCTAGGTCATCGTCGATGGGCAGCTCGGGTGGTTTTTAACGGTTTTTTTTTTTTTCTCAGCTTAACGGTTTTATTTCCCTTTTTTTTCTTTCCTTAATCTCAGATGTATTGAATTAGAGAGCGACACATTTTTTTTAGACTTAAAACACTCACTGCAGTGTAACAGGAGAAAAGGGGGACTGCGCAAAAAAAAAAAAAAAAAAAAAAAGTCGGTCGGGATTTGCGCCGGTGTGACGTCATGGGGATCCACAGAGCTCTCTGACAGAATCAGGAGTGGAAGTGGGGAGGAGGATGTATGATCAGCCTCGTCGGAGGTGTCGAAAAGCGTCTCTTTGCCAGGAGATGTAGGAGAGGATGCATGCTCGGGGATTTTTTGCTTCCTAGCAGTTAAAGCGACTGCTGCCTCTATTCTCTACCCGAAAAAACACAGACACACAGCAACAGACAGAGGGGGGATAAGCAGCTACTATATAATCCCTGGAACGGTCACATTCACGGCAGAGGCTCGGATCGGACAGAAATGAACAGAGGCAGCACCATCTGGATTAAATGAGAGCGAAAGAAGAGTCTGGGCGCACAAAGCGAGCCTGAAGTGTTATGCCAGTTCGGCTGTGCGGCGGTTATTGGACTGGAAATGGGAGCTTTAACCAGCAGGCAGAACATCGGCGTGGAAGAAGTGGACATTCCGTCCAATTCGGTGTATCGTTACCCTCCGAAATCTGGTAAGTTACCAACAAACAGGTCGGACTGTGGTGGATTGATCGCTGCAGCTCCATCAATAAACCTGCTGCTTATCTGCTGGCTGGGCCTGCAGAGCCTCAGCCTCTGTGCCCTCAGACCATCTATTAGAATCTATGCTGCAGTTTATTTAAAACATACATTATATATCTATAGAGATATTTGTTGAATATAGGGCTGCAACTAAAGATTATGTTGCCAATGATTAATCTGTCGATTATTTTATCTATTAATAATCATATAGCAAAAGGTTCCTTAAAGAAGATTTTTTTTAACATAATAAAACCAGATGGAACAAAAAAATAAATAAAAATAAAAAAATCCACTAGAGCAGTTCTGGGTAGAGCATATTGACAGACAAAAAGCTATTTTTTCATCTTAAATGCAATATATATATATA